CTAACTTAACTAATATAATTAAGTGGAAATTTTTAAAATAAGTGGTATCATGTGACAGTATAAGGTAGGTCCACCCCTGATTGGTCCCTAAAGCCATCTTGTTGTTCTGGTCAGGTGTCCGCCATTTTGTTAAGTGTACAATTCTTGAAGTGAATTATTGATTCCCTCTTTATAATAAAATCTCTTCCTTTTTTTTTTTTTTTAAAAAAAAGGGTTACAATTAAAAGATACATTATAAGGATACCTTACGCAACGTAGCTTATGCCTATTAGAAATTGTGTCTCGAATTTAAAAATTTTTAAAGGAAGACAAGTATGCGCTTGATGTGCAAGAAAACTTGTTCCCAAGAAGAAAAGGATTTTTTGTTAAATTTTTATTTTATTTTCAATGAATTAGTAAAATCAATGCCTTGGCGCAAGGAACTTGAATTCTTAGTCAAGGTCGTTTTGCCGTAATAAACAGGCACGGATTCCCCACACCTTTCAAATTGTCCCTTTTCAACTTGTTTCTTTTTCTCTAGGAAGTGATCAAATTTTCGTGACCCGCCACACAAACCATTAGCAAATTACCTTTTGTCAAGCTTTTCTGTTGACTTCTTTTGACCTCATTCTGCGTTTTCTTCCAAGTTCCAACCTTTCATACGCGTCCCCATGCCACTTTGGGCTTCTGCTTGTGTGGAAATGAGATCATTGTATTTTCATAGGATTGACTATGCAATGCCATACGATGATATTTGTCATCACAAATGTCTTGAGGACCAAGCTATCCGTACAAACTGTATGTCTGGTTAGACTTAGATCCAGTTTGGACATAGAATTTTCGATTTGACTCCAATCCAAGATTATTGTATTAATAAATAATTTATTTTTATTTAGTTTTAATTTAAAACTATTTTTCCTAATAATAAATATTATATAACGGGCGGATTAAGTCCAAGTCTGAACTTGTCTGTTAAAAATGATAGTTTGGTAACACCCGACACAACACGTGGGCATTTCTACGTATGATTTTGAGTCATATATTAATTCAAAAACTATCGACATTTTTTATTTTCGGTTTTTTAATCTTTTTCTTATATGGAAACAGGGTGTTTTATTTTTTTTAACAGATATAATTTGAACTACACACAATGAGAGATATTCTTCTTAATTTCAATAAATTAATCCCAATATATATATATATGTATTTGTTAATGGTAGGATTGAGTTCTTTTTTGATATAGCGTGCTTAAACTTATAATTTTAATTTAAAGGGCTTCTATTTGAATACCTCAATGAAAATGCATGTGGGACTTAACTATGGATTAAGAGAAGATTATACCTAATCCGTACTTACTATCATGCAATTCAAAATCATATTTACAAAAAATAAAAATGTAAAACATTGAGAAATAAAAATCTTTATATTAAGTAAAGATGGACTATATCAAAATATTATAGGTAATCTTCATTATTAAGAGTCGTGTAAAATATACTTCTAAGATTCAGAAACATTATAAATGATACTGATTCATGAAAATAATTTGTGATAAGTACTTAAAGGAGTACATACATACATACATACATATTATATTTGTTAATTTCTTCTTTATCCGGAATAATCATCTTTAATTAATTGTATGACAGTGATACTAGTATTTTTGACATTGTTAGCAGTCGTCATTAGGATTGTTTATTGAGTTAATGGGGTGTCACTGGCCGAAGAGAAGGGAGAATGAACAAAAACAAAAAAAGAATAAAAACAAAACTCTTAATTATCAAAGAAAAATCTATCAAAGTCCATCGACAGACCCTTCCCAGCAGATTCCAATTCCAATATTGTCAATAAGAGCAATGTGAATAGATTAAGTTTTCTTTGTTAATGCCGTCTTGCTTAATTCCATGCCCTAATATCCTAGCATCCGATCATAGAAAAATTAAATAAAGAGGTCAACGCCCTGATCCTTTAAGCCAAATTAGTCTTCTTTGTGTCTTTTTTCTCGTAAATAGTTAAATGTAAGCAAATTTAGTCGGTGCAATAGAGATTTCCTTAACTCTTTTTGTGGTTCATAATGGAATACGTACATTTGAGTCCTCGCTGAAGACTTCTTTACATTCAGACCTCTACATCATTGACATAGTTTTACGTTCACACTTAATATAATAATTTAATCAGAAACTTCTTTAAACATCCTTGAAGAGTTGAATTAAATTCCAAGTATTTATTTAAGGGTTTTAATTGTTTATTAACAATGCCTACGATCAGAAATTTTTTATTATATTTAATTAATTTTTTTAAATTTTTATTTTATATTAAATAAACTCTTATTATTAATAATTAAATAACTATCATGTCTACAAGTGTGTCGAAACAAAGTAGGAAGTTCTACCTGCAATTTTCCAGAGCTATCAAGTTCACTCCTATCAACATCCAATGCATGTGGTGGTGGGTAAACCTATTGACGTGATGAAAAATCCACAACCCCCTATCGAAGAGGTCATTGAAGTATATGATCAATTTGTCCAAGCACTTGAAGATCTCTTTGAGAGACACAAAGCTCAGGCTGGATTTGCTGATCTTCCATTAAAGATTCTTAGTTTGATCTGAACTTAGTTTCGGTTGGGTCGTCTTTAAACTTAAATCATGTCCGTTCATGTCCCAATTTCCTGCCTGTATGGTACTATTCAATTGGAATGTAAGGACAATAAAAGAACTACGTACCCAGATAATTGGTAAGGAGATATTTGATTAATATAGCACATAGTTACATATATATATTTATTTATTTAAAAAAAATATCACTTATTATTTTATACCGATATGATATTAATGAGGATGATAAAAAATATTATATAATCATGCTATCATGTCTAATCAATATATAATATCATCATCTATTATTATATGTCAATATGTCATATGAGCATCCAATGATATTGAATGATAAATAGTATTTTGACTAAATCAACTATTAATGATAAAGATTTATTTGATTCAAAATAAAAATATAAAAACTTATTTGATTCAAAATAAAAATTTAATTAAGTGTAATAAAAAATAAGAACTTATTTAAAGTTTCTTAAATAATTTACAAATTTTTTAGATATTATGTTAAAAAAAACACTGTATATATGCGCTGGTAGAGTTCCTTAATTTGTTACTATTAGAAGAGATCGGGACTTGGGAGGAGGGCTATTGGGTTTGTTCCGAAAACTTAGTTCTTACTGCTAATAGCTTAATTGGTTCCAAAATTAATAACAGTTGATGCAATTAGCTAATTCAGACAAGCAGCAATTCATTCTCATAACTTGAGGGAGAAATAAAAAGCAGTATTGAAGTTACAATAAAAAAAAATCTCATATTGTTAAATTAAAGGTATCTTGAATATATTAATATAACAAGAGACTCTTTACCTATTATCAATTAATTTTATATTAAATATTTGTCCTCTAATATTTAATATGATATCAAAGTAAGAGTTGTCCTATTGGTTGGCACTTCTATGAGTTTCTTTTTCATTATTCACGATTTTTACATGTAAGTGGATATATTGAAATAGTAATAAAAAAAATCTCATATATGTTAAATATATGTTAAATTAAAGATATCTCAAGTATATAAATATAACAATGATCTTTCTACCCATTATCAATTGATTTTAGATTTGATGCGCAAAATTCAACAAGTAATACATAGTTGAAATTTATTTATGCTAAAAGAAGCAATTCTAATATTTTTTATGTTGAAATGCAAGGCAAGTAAAGGCCTTTTAAAAAAAGCAATTAAGTATAAAGTAAGTGGGAACCGAAACTTCAAAAAACAAGATAAAGTTAATTATATATAACAATTCGTTATGTCTTGTATGAATTCCTCGTTGTGTCGTTGAGACTCAACAATGCTCCAACCACGTTTTAGACCCCTGTGGACAATGTATAGAAATCCTTCCTTGCATACATAAGATGCAATAAAATCAAAGTTTAATTAATTAAATAAAAGAATTATCCTGCTTTAATACCTTTCAAAAAAAAAATTATCCTGCTTTAATGGTGTTCTTTGCCTTCGTTTCCTCGAAGAAGAACATGAAAAGTGAAATGAACTTAAAAGAGCAAAGGTAAAAAGTGTTTGCCTTTATTCAAAACAATGCCTAAGCGCGTCTCCTGACAGTCTCTGTTACTTGTATAGAAAATTCCCGCGTTAAAAACGCATGGTTTCAACACATCAACAACGCGTTGCTAGATACAGCAATCAGAAAAGTTCGATCTTTCTTAAATGTAACTCTACTTTTTATACTTTGATGCTAATCTTCCTTTTCATCTTTCCCATTTTAATTTGGGATTGGGTTTAAAGTGTTACTATTGCAACAATCTTTATAGAAATTAGAATTCTTAAACTTTATTTTTACGACCGAATTAGTTATAATTAACTTTTGTAACAACAATTTTCATACCGGCTTAAAAAGTTGAAAAATTCTAAAGTTAAAATGAAAAAAGTTTGAATCTCCGTGTATTAACAGAAAAAAAAAAATCAAGTTTTAAAGACATATAGTTAAAATAATAAAATATTAATGATTACGAAATTATACATGAAATATCTGTATTAAGATGATATGTTTAATGTTTTTTTTTTGTATATGTGGAACTAAAGTTGGCAATTTGATATGAAACGTATGTGAACTGAATTTAGTAATCTTTTACCACTTGATATATATGTTGATAATACGATGAAAGATGTATGAACCATTAGTGTAGCCCAGTATGAGAGAAATCAATCCAGTAGATGCAGGATAAGAAGCATAGTGCGTGCCACACAGGAATAGATTTGACTGATTCCAATGAATGTTAAACAAATAATGCGGAAGCAAAAGGAGACACTTTCTTCCAAAGCGCGTGGAAGTTTCGAAGCAAATCCCACGTCCCCTCCTTTTTTTCTATCCCATTTCTGCTCTCTTGCCTAACTCCTGATAATCAATCCTCAAGAAAGTGAAAGCAGAAGAAACCTGTCTCTCTCTTTCTCCTTATAAATATATTATAAATATGGCTATCAACAGCTTACCACCACAACCATTCAATACATATGAGCAAACATATTTGATCAAAGAGAAAGAAAGGGTAGTGAAAATGGAGGATATGCCGCCGGGGTTTCGGTTCTATCCAACTGAGGAAGAGTTGGTTTCGTTTTATCTCCATAACAAGTTAGAAGGAAAGAGAGAGGACCTCAACCATCTTATGGTCCGAGTTGTTCCGGTTGTCGACATTTATGAGTACAATCCGTGGGATCTTCCACGTAAATAGAATCTTCTCCTTTCAGTCTTAATTATCTTAGGCCCTTTTTTTTTCTTCCCTTTGAGTTTCCATAATTATGCTACTTGGATCTTCATTCAGAGAGATCACCCAACTACAAGTTCTTTAATTTACTATTTGCTTGCCTAACGTTGCTGTGCCTCCGGTCATGCAGCTTGACCTACACTTGAGCTCAATGTTTCCTTTTGAGCGGAAAGTTATTTATCTTTTCCTCCGTATTACCCATATTGAAAGTTTTCTTTCTTTTTATTTTATTTAATTCGTAGTGGATTCTTTATTCGTTCTCTTTTCGCATAAAGTTAATTTTTCTTTGATAATCCTGGATACAAATCCAGCCAAAATTTCAAGGGCAAACATATTTAAATTAATGAAACAGAAAAGGGGGAAAATGTACAAGTTACGATCGCAAGGGTCAAGGGTTACCGCTATTTCATGCTACTCTTTTTTTTTTTTTTTCATGTTTTCCTAGTGTAGTTTTTGTTGATGCAGATTTCTCAGTTTACCTGTGCCATAAGGACCCGGAACAATGGTTTTTCTTCATTCCAATGCAAGAAAGTGAAGCTCGAGGAGGGAGACCAAAGCGGCTAACAACATCTGGGTACTGGAAAGCTACTGGTTCTCCTGGTTATGTTTACTCTTCTAACAGTCGCCCAATCGGGGTAAAAAGAACCATGGTTTTCTACAATGGAAGGGCTCCAAGCGGGAAAAAAACTGAATGGAAAATGAACGAATATAAAGCTATTGAAGGAGAAGCATCCTCACCTAATGCTGCACCTCCCACTGTAAGACAATATTCACTTATCATAATTCATTAGCTCTCTTCTTCTAATTAGCTTCTTAATTAATAAGATGATTTCATGATATTATTGGATTGCAATAATCCTCTCATATGACAGATATATACTCGTTTTCTTATTTCATTTGATTTTCCGTATTGCTTTAGAAATTGCACCAAGTGTAACTTTAACATAGTTCTTACGTTTTTCCTCTTGCTTTTATTGTTTGATCTTGCTATTAATAAAGTCATCCTCCACTTGCTTTTGTTGTTTGATCTTGCTGTTAATAAAGTCATCCTCCTCTTGCTTTTGTTGTTTGATCTTGCTGTTAATAAAGTCATCTAAAAGTTCTACTATGTATAAATCTTAATTTCCCCATGTTTTTCCTTTTCTTTTTACACAGCTAAGACAAGAATTCAGCTTGTGCCGGGTGTACAAGAAATCAAAATGCTTGAGGTCATTTGACAGGCGGCCACCACCAGGAGTGAAGATAGGCGAGGCAGTGCCTCAGCATGGGAATGGTTTTGGGGTAGGAAAATCTCATCATCAGAGCACTGAAATAGCAGATAGAACGACCATCGCAAGCTCACCAGAGAGTTCATCTTCAGGAGATAATCATCATGCCAATCGGTCTAATCAAACTCGGGAAAGCAATAGCTCGAGAATGGTAGTTGATGACGTATGTTCCTTCTGGGATCTTGATGGGTTCTGGGATCCTGTGAATTAGTGAAGCAGGCGGAGGACTTGAAACTCAAATTAAGTTAATTTGCATGGATATATATGGTGCATGCAGTCACAATCTGCATGAACTGAATTAACTTAGTAACGGACATGAATAAAATTCCCTAGCTATGTAGTTTAATTTGGTGAAAAGCCAAGCTTTGTTTAGTAGCTTTCGTCCTTATTTAGTTGTCTTGACTCTTATATCTTCATCTAGCTGTTTCATGCTTCCAAGCAACTTGAAGAGAAGGACAAGAAAAGACAAGCACCCAGGAAGTTTCAGGGATGGGACCGAGGTGAATAGTAGCTCGCGATAGTGCATGGAAGCTTAATTTGTATCATTATGTACAGCCAACTTTGTACCAGCCATCTATAATAAGTATGAACTTTTTAGCTTTTAATTATGAAAGCTAAGAATTTCTATTTGGTAACCTCTGAGTTATAATTAATTTGTACAACTAATTCTATATGTAGCTTATACTGATAGTAGAATGAAGTATTATAGACATGCAATATATTAGTAGAATAATTTTTGTGCATACGGAAACTCATTGAGCTTGGAATATTATTGTAGATAGGCAAATGTATAGTTCTCTTCCATATGGCATAAACTCTATCTTTTCTTCCGAAAATTTGAATATAATTAGACCTCTAAATAAATAGATTGAGTGCTGAACTGGCCCTTCAAAGTTTTTTGGCGAGGGAGATGGTGGGGATGAAGTAAGAACCGAGGACTTGCAACGGTTAAGGTAAAAGGTGGAAAGATTAGTGCAATCAGCAGGAGCAAATATGATGATATGAATGCTCCTTTCAATGTGACTAGTAAATAGAAGTTCCTTTAATTGCTGCGATGACATGTGTGGTTCTGTCTCATTTCGTGTTTGGATACAAGAATGGTTTGGACCTGAATTTTGAAGAGTTGCAATGAAGTTAGGTGTGCAGCTTGGCCTTGGATTACTTGATAGCTTATTTAGGACAAGAGATGTTATTTTGTATAGGTTTGAATCCCTAAATCTATGTGTAAATATTAGAATATTAAAAGAATCAATTATTTATTCTGCATCTATTTGATTCATAGAGGTAGTTATTGCTCTTAGCGAAAACACAAAAAATTTCTAATTAAGGTTAAATCTTTCTCTTCGCATTTCTTTATTGTTTGTGGCGGCTCTCAATGAGCATATATCATTAAGTTAAAAGGGAAGAGGATCTAGTCATATATATATATATATATATATATAATAAACAAAATCTTAATACAAGCCTCTTTTAAAAATGTACTAGGTTAAGACCTACACAACAGCCAAATCACACTAACCCAATTGGACGTACAAAGCCCATAATTAACTGAACACTTTAATATTAATTGAGCTCACATGATTTATCTTATAATAGGATTAAACTATCAATCTGTTTTATTAAACCCAAATTATCAATTAATAGAAGCCCACATAATAGAAAATTCTAACAAATCCTGTTGCAGTTTTGTTAAAGGAATATCCAAATTTTTGTTGAGGAGCTTAGGTAGATTTCTTTTGCTCTTTTGTGTAAATTGTTATTTTTAAAAGGCATGTGATTTCATTTCATAAAAACCAGTACACTTCTTTCAAGGCAAAGATAGTCAAGTTGCCTGTACAAAAAGAGGGAGTGAGCATAACCTCCCTTCCATAAAATCCCCAGAAACATCCAAACAAAACTGTACAGTCGTTCTATCCCAAAATAGCAGAAAGCCAGCGGAGCTATAGAACAAAAATAACAACTCCAAACAGCGAACTCCAAGTCATAAACCCCTGAACAAAAGAGAGCTGTGCAATAATTCCAGCAATAGAGGTTTTTACAACAGGGATCGCATGCAAAGTGTAAATTGTTTTAGGTGGCTTTCTTTGCTCTTTTCTGTAAATCAACGTGACTAATACCCAATAGCTTTTTGTGCAATGGTCAGCTTTTAAGTGTACAGATTATCTATAGCCTGACTGAAATTTTTATGCCATTACAAGTCCTTTGCAGAGTAGCTTTAGATTTACAATGGCATGTTGATTGAAAGGCTAATAAAATTATTTTTCAAAAAAAAAAATAAAATTCTTGTGACCAAACGGGTCATTCACATAGAAAATATCAAACTTAAATCATTAGAAATTGGGATATCGCCAAGTACTACACAATTCACTTTCAATTTGGCTTAGCAAAAATTGTAAAATTCCCCATGATTCTTTTTTTTTTTATGAAATACTATATCTTCTGTGAAAAAATGATGACATATATCACTAGATTTAATTAATGTTATATTGTTTTTTGGCTCAGCAAAAAATTATAAAGATATTTTAACTTAGTAATTAAATTCTATTTTAATTAATTTATCTAGAATTGATAGATATATATACTTGATAAGAGTATATATGTTTTACATACATATATACATATACATACCTTATAAGAGTATTTATGGTCTATGTACGTACGTATATTTAAAAAGTTTTACATTTTATATTAACAGTGAATGGGATAATAATTCAAAATATTTAATTTAAGTAAAATTTTTGACTATACCTTTAATATTTTTTTCTCAATCAAATGTGGTATTTATTTAAGTATGAAGAGATAATATTGGAAACTAATCATCCTAAGGGAGATTAAACTCACCAAATACATGTCAAATATTACATATTGAAAATCCTCAAGATCAAACAAACATAGTACATATCATATCTCTCATATTGTTGAGGAGTTTGCAGACGAGGCGAGTGAGATTTAAGTAGACATCATATGGAAAGGAAGAACAAAGGATGAATGGGGGAGAAAGAATTTCGCAACAACAAGGACAGAAGCGTGGGGGCTGGCATGCTCGATATGAACTGGGAAAGTGGAGAAAAAGTCTACATATGACTTTTGTTGATAATTTGAGTCCAAGAGTTACTTGGAAAACATTGATGGATGTATTTGATCAATTTGGGGCGATGGTGGATGTTTTCCTTCCTAGGTCATTGAGATAGGAATATAATTGTCAAGAAGACAAATAGTAATAAAGGGGAGAAAAGCGTACAACAAAGATGGCATAATGATAAAGGAAGGATGGATATAGATAAATGAGTTCATAGGTCATTTAAAGAGGCCTTGGTGTGGCCGATGCCAATCCAAACTAAAAAATGTAGAGGAAAAGTTATCTCAAAAGGGGATGATTTCCTAAATAAAGGAGAAAGGAAAAAGCGCTAAGGGAGTAGAAGTCTTTATCTTTGAACCAAAACTAAAGTGGTTAGAAATGTTATCATAGTCAAACGAAATCACATGAGTGGTTCTATCTTGGACATCATCAAATCATGTACGGTGGCCAACTTACGGAGAAATAAAATCACGTGTAGGGCAAAGCAGTTGGGCGAAGAAATAGATCATGCACTTGTCGAAGCAATAGGTTGGAGAATAGATCATGCACATGTCGAAGAGATGGGTGGAGAATAGATCACGTAGAAAGCCGAAGCAGTTGGTGAAGAATCATATCATCGACCAGAGTAATCTTCTAACATCGACATCACTCGGAGTAATCTCAAAGGATTGTATCAAAGCATTGCAAGTAGGAATCACAGGTGGGATTAGTGCCGCTATCCCTGCTTGTCACCATCCTTGCAGGCACACACATAGTAATAGGGAATGGGACTCCACTCCACCTCCAATCAAATCAACATCCAGAATTCATCTGTTGGACAGAACACAAATCCACAAATCAGGCCATTGTTTCTATAACATTCCATAAGTCCACATTAAATCATATTCAAATTTAATGAGCTTCAATCATCTCTAAGCTCAGTATAATTTTAAATGCCTTCAAATCTCTAAGGCATCATCAAACAAAACATAATCAATCTATAAGCCCTCATGCCCTTAACTCCACATAGGTATTCATCATATTCAATCAAATCAATCATGGCTTAACAGCCTTACACTTATCCTCAAATCAACCATAAGTATGTTGGTATTCACACATAAATCATGTCCATAAGCAATCATTGCCCTTTGGCCCCACATATGCAATATCACTCAATTGCTGTGCCATTAACCTAAATACATATTGTGCATATATACCCAGCCAGGCAATCCATTCATCATAATTTGGCATAGTCCTTAATTCATAATTCATATCAGACCATGGGTAGGCCTCTTGCTGTAGGTCCTATATACCATGGGTTTTAACATAATGCCACAATATGGCACACCACAAATCACACAAACACAATTTTTTCCTATCCCAGATAACAAAATAGCCTAGGCATCCTCATCTAGGCACACAATCATAATTGTTCTCTAGCCTAGGCACATACCTTTAGGCAAACATACATATTCACACACACACACACACATAAATATGTATATATACACATCAATTTCATTAGCTTAGGTATTCTCATCTAGGCATACACATAACATTTAAGAATCATAACAACGCATACATTATGTGAAATGCATCACATGCATTTAATTAAATCCCACTTACCTTGACAATCGGAGGCACAACGCAATCATGCTCAACCTTTAGCCTTCAACAGTCCTCTAGCTCATAAAAGCATCAATAGCCTCCATCCTTCCTTTGAACAAATCAAAATATTACAAAAATATTTATTTTTTAGCTTTCAAAAATATCTCAACTTTTCGAAAATACCCAAATTCAATATACATGCTCATTCTTCCAACAAATGAGCTAAACGTTTACTTTAGAAGTTAGTTGCCCAAATCTAGGCTCCAAATCTCTAATAAACTCAAAGAGAGAAAGTTTGACCAAATCTGAAAACATTTGAATCCGGAGTTATTAACTGACTAAATAAAAATCATTCAATAAAAATGCTTAATCTTACCTCTAGATCATTTCCCAAGCTTGGATCTAGCTCAAATAGGCTCCAAATGGTATATGGGGGCTGAGGGTTCAAAGAGGGTAGAGAGAAAATGAGAGAAAGAAATAGGACAAAAATTACCCCGAAACCCTTTTTTATTTTTGACTTTTTTCTTTGATGTATTGATGCATTGCCAAATCTATAGATACATCTACCCTAATTTTGAATGAATATATCGATACATTGAGGTAATCTATTGATAAATTTTAGGTAAAATGGTCTAGAATGCTCTTTGCTTTAAATGTATCGATATATTGAGGCAATGTATCGATACATATTCATCCTTTGGCAAATCTATCGATACATTTTTTAATGTATCGATAGAATTCTTCTAGAACACCTCATATTGTTCATCTTGCCACGAATGCATCGATATAAACAGGGATTTATCGATATAGTTTCCCTTGTAGGTAGTTTTAAGTCTTTTCTAACTTCCAAAAATCCAACTTAACACCCAAAAATTCATTCCCTGTTAATCTTATACCTCAAATAACTTACATAATTCAAAATCCTCATGCATATATCCTCAAACATGCATCATATTAAATCAAGTCCTC